AAACACATATTCAAATCCTTTTTTCAATTCATATCCGACAATTTTTTATACAAAATCATTTCAAATATTCGTGAAGTCCATTCCAATCTAAGTTCTAATTGAATGCTTTTAAATCATACTTAAACGATAATGCATGATGAACATAATCAAAGGAATTTAAAACACAATATATTATATAATAACCGAGTTACAATACAATAGAGAATCGAATGAGTCTGAACGAATAAAGGTTATGATGGAGGAGTCGCCAACTCCGAAGAATTTAATATACATAATGATAGAACAACCATCAATATCATATATCAAAGGATAATTCAAAATAATTGAATTATTCTAAAATTCAAAATATAAGATTATCAATAAAAGTGGAATTGATTGAAAGGATTCAAACCGATAGCCTTAGCTAGATTCTATAATCTCTCCAACAATTCTACAAAATTGCCTAATCACATCCCATATCAATCCTCAATTCAATTAACCATTATACATATCGTCTCTTCTCAAATTCAATTTAAGCCTCTTAAATAATAAATTTTCAATTAAATGATCAATTCCATTTTAATTCACCCAATACCCTTTTCATTCATCTCTAATTGCATCTATATAACTTAATTCCTCATTTTCCTAAATTCTTTTCAATTAAAACCAAAATTTTAAATTTTCACTATTCATCATCTTCAATCTTTCAATGACTCAAATTTACTTAATTTCGTTTTAAATTAACTTTATAAACCACTCATCCAGAGCAATTAAACACCACTCCAACACTTAAAGTCACTTAATCAAGTTTTCCCCAAAAGGGTCTCAAAGACCCTAACCTTAAGCTAATCAATTCTTCAAACAAACCATAAGCCATTCCGATTTCATTTTAATATCATCATTAACTATATATAAATATCATAATTCAAAGATCAATTCATCGAAATCGTATCTTTGAGAATTTATACTTCAACTCCCAAATCAATCCTAGTTCTTAAAGATTTTCAAGCTTTAATCTAGGTAAACTCCACTTAAACCTACTTGTTTAAGATTCTCCCAAGCTAATTTAACAAGACTTAGCTTAGGATTGAAAGAGAAAGTAAAGAAAAATTTTGGAGAGAAGAAGAAGAAAGAGAAGAAAATTCTACAAATAGGGTAGTTGCTGCCTCTATTCATACCAGTTCGAATATTTTTTTAACTTAAATATTTTTTTAGATCGAGTTATTATAAGGTGTAGGATCCACGGTTGCAAGAGCTATAGGTGCGAGCTGATTTTGTCCCTTCGACCATTAATGGAGATGAATAGCAATAGAGGGTGGTGTGATACAAGGTAGGTGTGCCATGATAGATTTGGGAGGGATTCGGACAACGACTCATTCGAGTTGATTTCGAATTGGTCCTATCGTTCATGTCTTATGTCAATTTAGGTCCATGCGATTTAATTTTGCTTCAATTGTACCATCTAGATGAGTCATTATAGCCTCTGTATTTTTAATTTTTTTAATCTAGTCCCTATACCTTGTAATTTTAGCTCTAGGATTTTTCATTTTTTCAATCGTATTCTTAATTATTTCAATTTTACTTTTGATTTTTATTCAATCATGTCCCTAATCAATCCAGTAATATATATATATATATATATATATATATATTGTATTTTTTATTCCCTTTTTTTGTAGTAAATACTGAAATTAAAGAATAAATAAAATAAAATAAAATAAATGAAACTAGAGGAAATATATAACCCAATATTTAGGTTATGAGAGCGAGATATGATACATTTTCTCTTGAGATCTGATTAAGAGCCCACGAGTTGTTTTGTCCCATTGTTTTGATTGATTATTTACAAAATTTCAATTACTTGTTCTATATGGCCGAGTATCTATTATTGTAAATCTCCTTCGACAAATCAAAATATCCCACTTGTACTGCAACAAAAATAAAATTAAAGGGACAAAAAATGTTCATTAAAGATTATTTATAGATCTTAATTTTATATGAGATAATAAAAATAACACTAATAAAAACATCTTGATTTGTTAAAGAAAATATTAAGGAAAAACTTCCATTTAGTTTAGGTTCCTTGTGATTCAAACATTCCTCAATAGTATCCTTTTTTTCTCAATTTTGTTTTTTTTATTTTCCATTCAATACTCGTTTCATGCAACAAAGTGATGTTGTTTAACTTGAAAAAAAAATGATGGGACAGACATGGATAGAAGGTCCAAATAGAAAAACATTTATCTAAATTGTTAGTTGATCAAAGTTTTTATTTCGGGATGAAATCAAGAATTGGATATTACATTGGGGGTTAATTTGACGGCATCTAGTCTGCTTGATAGAATAAAATCTAGGATAATTGCTTGTCATTGAACCATTAATGCATTATGCATTACCCAAGCATAGCAATGCTAAGTTAAATAGCTGCATCGGTTCTGTTTCTTTGGGGTATGTAACCCTACCAACATAATTCCATGATAAATATAGCTTATAGCAAGAATGAAAATCTCTATCAATAACCCGGTCTATCTTTATGTCATAAGCTCAGTACTTAATCTATTTTTATATCTTAAAATAAATAAATTATATCTTTATTATTTAAGTGAATTTTCAATTTATTTTTCTTATCAAAATTTTCAGTCAAATTATTTTTAAAAATGACGTAATTTGCATGTAATTTTTTTTATGTTGAAAATGCTCCTCTTGATTTAATCTATCTGCGTGTGATTGATTTTTCTTAGTAAAAAAAAAAAAAAAAAAACATGACTTGCACATGTTAAGACGAGGAAGGCATTTTCATAAATAAATAAATAAACATGTGTAGGTTAGGTGATTTTTTCAAATTATTTGACTAAAAAAATAAATTGAAAACTCGCTTAAATGATTAAAAAAATAATTAGCTTATTTTGGACATACAAATATATTGTATATTAAACTCATTGCATAAAGACATAAAGACACAAAGACAAATGAGACTATTTTCGTTTGTGAATACGTCTGAACATGAAACGGGCTTGAGAAAATTAGACATGGAAAAACATCAGATGGGCCATCAAAGCAATTAACATGAGAAAATCGACTACAACAAGTATCTTTGAAAAAAGGCAAACCTTTACATAACTGTCTGTTTGAATTTGAAGGCTGCAGAAGATCAAATGAAAGTGATTCAACAAGAAATTCAGTTAGATACGCCCTTTAAGTCACGGCAAAATAACTGGCAACGGATCCTTTTGTGCCTTGAAAAGACCGCCATTAAGGTACGGTGGAATAATTTATGTTTGGAACAAGGTTCAAGTACATGTAATTGTTACGTAAATGCCACGTGTAAAACACGGATCTGGCATCGTATGTTTCCGAATTTCAAAGTTTGCTTTCCCATGCACAGAAAGATTTGGAAATGGTTGTAATGTGTAATGAGAATGTTAATTGTAAAAGATTTGTTTTCCAATAAGTTGAATTCTTTTCTGAAATTCAAAATGTTTAGGTCATGTTTGGGAGCACAGTAGTTTAAATCGCAATGCTAATTACTCCAAACGCTGAAATAATCTTTTTAATAAATAAAAGAAAAAACAAGAGTGAACCGTTATTTTGAAATTTCTTGATTTTTAAACTTATTTTTCCACTAATACTTTATAACTTTTATATTTTTAGCGGGTGAAAATACGTTTAAAATTCTAAAGAAGAGATTATTATATAATTTACACGTAAAATATATAATGTGTATATTTTTAATAATTTCAATGCAAACACATTTCAAACCAAATACTCTCTTTTTTTAGCCATTTCAAAAGCTGCATCTATCCAAAGGTTCGACAACTTAAAAAGCTGATACAGCCACCAAACACACCCTTAATTCTGATCCTAATATTTCATCATCATTTAGAACTTTTTTGCCGAAGAAGGAATTTGTCAACGTGGGCTCAAAGACTCAACGGGCAAGGGTAGACCCTTCCAGGTTTGGGCCTTTAACCTGCAAGTGTAGGGAGTCCAGAGTCGAGTCCTTGTTTGTTTTGAATGTAGCCATTTCTTTTATTATTATTTTTTCACTACTAAGCACCACATTTTTTGGGTGCTATTTAGCATATTTTGCATGTATAACCGTTAAATTCACTAATAATTTTTTTATTTTTACTATTTTCTTTTTTAAAATGATTAGTATAATGTTTATTGCATTCTAACTTAAAATACCATCTTCCATGATATCAAAATGTTATAACGAGTCATTTTAAAAATAAAGTAGCGAGAATAAAAATTTTTGCAGCATCCATTTTACCTTATGAGTTATATTTAGGGGTTATTTTAAAATTTTTTACGAACAAAATTAACATGTCATTTCTAGGTGATTTGTATCATTTGCAAAACATATAATTAGAAAAAAAAATTACACTCGCTTGGATTTCATATCATATCGTGTGTGTGTATATGTATATGTGCGTATTCATCAAAATACTTAATTGCCAACTAACTAGTCCATTCATGAGCAATTTAATATTAATGATGGTATCATGACTTTTTTTTTTTTTACCTGGAATTGTCTATTCATCAACCATTTTTGATAGATATAGATTGATTTTGAATCGAAAATTTCAAATCCTCTTGGCACTTTTGAAATCAGAAAAACATGCCTAAATCTTGTGATCCCTACAAAGAGATATAAAAAGTAGAATTCAAATCTTAAACCTCTTCAATATTGAAAGTCTAAGTTTCTTGCCATTGATCAAACTTTGTGTGATTATCATGATATTTTTCAATACAAGATGGGCAACGAGAAAGTAGTGCATGTATTACCAAAAAAAAAAAAAAATCCCAACTGGGAATAGATTAAAGAGCATATGTGAAAGTATAAGCTTCTTAATTTGTTTCTTTTGTGGAGGAATAGAAGTATATGCTTTTATTATTGATAAAATTGCAGGATACAATACTCTATAACTCTAGCACCTACTAATAATTCTTTACTGTGGACTAATTCGTCCGTACAGAAGTCAAACTTCTTAGACTCAGCATTTTGTCTATAATTCCCCTCAAGTCAATCTCCTAGACTCCAGGAAGTTCTTATTCTTGTGTTCGTGAGATGCCATGTATTCAATAAAACTCGCAAAGTCTGTGTCCTTATACAGCCTTGGACTAGCATCACTGACGAGTTTTGGCGACGGTCGAATCATGCTGTTAAAAGGTAAGCTGTGTAATGAGGCAATGGAGATCCGAGGCTTCAAAGGATTGACTAGAACTCTATGGATAACGCTCTTGTACCTCCCATTGCTAAAAATCTGCCAGATGATTAAAAAAAAAAGTTTATTGATTAATCATGAGTTATTAATTGATATATATAATGAAATATTTTCGAATCAATTCTTACATTAATTAAAATTAAATTTATCATTTTCTAATTTTCTAATCGATAAACGGTTAAACTCAGTATTATATATTAGTGTTAAATGAACTAACCTCAAGATGGTCACCGACGTTAACAACAAATGAATTGGGAATTGGTTCCACAGTGACCCATCTCCCATCATGCTGAATTTGAAGACCCTTAACTTCTTGATCTTGGAGAAGTAGTGTGAGGAAGCCATAGTCTGAATGGGGTGGCATGCCAAGTGTTAGGTCAGGTTCAGGACATGAAGGATAGTAATTAGCCACGATGAGTTGGCTCCCATCTTCAAATTCTTTAAAATGATCAAAACTATCATTTTCAACCAACCCTAGGCCCTCTAATATTGCCTCCACGAGCATTAGATACGAGGATTTTGTTTCTTTAGAGTAGTTAACCACTGCTTGCCTGTTGATGAATTCAATATGGAATTAAGAATCAATAATTAATGTAGAAATAATTGACACATGATTAAAGAAGTAGTTTATTATCTAATCAATTTTATTTAATTGAGTAGGTAATTAAGCAAGACCAAGTTCACAGCATCATCATGCTAGAAACATGAGACTCAAATTAGGTGCAATACTAGTGCAAATTTATCACCTTAGCTCCATAGGAGAAGAAGGCCAATAAGGAAGAACATCTGAGAGGGGATGACAATTAAGTTTTATAAAATCTCTCCAGCAAAACACACTATCCTTGTTCTGGTTAAAACTTGTTCCATATCTAAATGGTACACTCTGATCTTTTGACATGTACTTCGATCTCTCCTCGAAAGGAAGCTCGAAGAACTTCCTTCCTCCTTCAATCATGTTGAGGATGTAATCACTTGCAATGCCATGATTTATCAGCTGCATAAACAAAAATAAAGGAAGAATTAATTTCTAATTAGAGAAATTAATTAGTTGGAGTGGGACTATATAAGATATGTATACTCGTCACCAATAGATTTTTGGTTTGATACGTAACAAACTTTTTGCACTACTTCCTCTCTTGTTTTACTAACTCCTAACTATTAAGCTAATCTTCTAACGCATAACAATTTATATAAGTTACAGGATCTTTTCTATGACAAAAAATAAAAAAGCTATGCATGCTGACCTGAAAAAAACCATATTCTTCGCAGGCCTTTGAAAGGGATCTGAGAGCATGAATTCTATCTGGACCTGGACCTTGCAGCTGAGCGAAATCGATTATTGGTAGCTTGAGACTATTAGACGTAGAACCATCTTTTTTTGGTAAAATAGGGCGGTCCAGTGCCGGCAATATGTATTTTCTAGGCACTTTTGTGATTCCTCTCTCACGTAGATGCTTCACTCCCTTATGGTACTCGTGACTTTCTACTAGCTCTTCTTCTTTGTAACTAGTTTGAACTTCCAACACCATTGCCGGTGACATGGCTGAAATCCAATTAATTAAAGATTGAATATATTTATGTAAGTTAATTAGTTAACATAGAATAGTAATGGCAAAAGAAATTAAGAAAACAATTTGTAATCAATAGCAAGAATGAACTTGGACGACTAGAGATATAGTTAATTAACTACGTACCTTCAGAGATCGAGAAGAGAGAATAAAGAAATGGTGATGGGGTGAAGAGGAATATTGAAAGAGAGGTGTATATATAGGGAGAACAAAAGTCTACCAACGGCAAGTCGTTGGAAACCAGTTTTGGTTTTGCAGCGATATGTACTCGTTATTTTTTATTTTTATGAATAGGATGGAACCTACATGGACTAATTCCATTCCATGCAAACGCGACTGTTGACTTGGTTTTGTCAACAACACGACGCCCCAACTATAGAATATTTCAAGTCTACAGATTTATGTAGCCTAATTTGCTTTGGAAGGATATGTTAATTTGGTTAGGCAATCAAATTAATTATATATAAATATAAAACTAAATGGGAGTTTAATTACTAGACAAAGAATAATTTATAAAATGAAAATAACGCATAAATATATGGTTTGATTTTTTTCTTTTCGGGTATATGTGCATGTAGTACCTAACTTTTATAGAAAAGTAAAATCCTCATAACATAACATTATTAAAAAAAAAATTCTCTTGAATAAAAAGATTTAATTCATTATCAAAAATATTCCTCACATTTCTATTTATATTTTTCTTAAATATTTATCTGATTAAAATTTTAAATAATGTATTTTTAAAAAATATTCTTAATTAAAGTTTATTTTATGAAAGATTTTTAAATATCCATAAGTAAAGCTTATTTTATAAACAATTATTTAAATACAATTCTTAATAAAAAGTATTTTTATAAATTATAAATAAAATATTAATTCATGTGAAAAGTAAAAAAAAAAAAAAAAAAACAATTATTTTATAACGAATATAGTAACATAAATGTTTGGATGTGTAGCTAGAATCATTGATAATTCCCTGAGAGCATGGGCACTCCTGCTATCCTACTCTCATTATGGCCATGGGGCCGGCCATCCCTAGTTAATTAGTTTACATAACTATTAATGACTTTTTGTTGTTCCACCGATTTTTCATGGTTACCAGAAGAAATAAAACATAAATGTGTATTAATTTACAACTAATTACAATCTATCCCCAACTAAACCATCAATTAATGACGCGTGGTTAAGTTTCGTGCGTCGCAATACACCCCAGTCCCCACCTTCCTCTAAGTCAAATGCCATAGCAGAAAGAGATCGACCATTTAGGGTTTTATATAGTTGTAAAGTATATAGGCTATAGCTAACCAAGGAGTTGGTGGTTGTGAGAAGATGGGATGCCCAGCAAGCTTTCCAATTGTTTGGTCCATTGAAGCTCCTTTTGTCCTTTGTTTTTCATTCACTGCATGCATCAGTTTCACAGAAGTCTCTGCTTATTGTATGTTTGCGAAATTTTCTAATCTCAGATAGTTTCCATGCCCAGTTGAAGATTGAGGGGGCTTTTTTTCCCCCTTAAAATCAGAAGTCGATTATTATCTTTTTTCCATTTTTTTAATGGTGAGTGAAGTCAAAGGTTTCTATATTCCGAATTTCCCACGGGAGACTCAAATTTTAAATTGCGAACAACCTGAAATCCATACATATTCACGAATCACAAGCACATACATCGATTTTCGTCTGAAAAAGGAGAATATTTTCGGACTAATTTGTATATCATTTAAAAATAAAAGTGCATCTTTTATATATAGTCATTTTTACATCGAGGAAAAAAAATTTTAATTTGTTTTCAAGATTTGAACTTAAAAAATAAAGGAAAAAGTACACAAATATATATAAATATTATAAAAACAAATCAACAGGGTGCACTTGTATATGTTAAGTCCTAATCGATTACAGGTAAGTCATCCATGTCTAATATGATACATTCATGGAAAAATATTTTTATTAATTTTTATGAATGAATTTTTATTTTTTATTTTTTGCAATTTCCTCTTTTACATAACTACGTTATTATTATTATTATTATTTTGGTTAATTGTGTATTTTTATAGTTTTCATTCAATGAAGCATCCCTCGGTGTTAAAACTTTAATTACAGTTGCAAATTCACTGAGACTAATTGAATATTTGGTCGGTCAAGTATACATGAATAAGAAATTTTAAGAATCGTCGTCTTATGTTTGTCCCTGCACATTAAAATCCCAGTTTAAGATGGTTTTTCATTTCAAAATCTAGGTAATTAATTAATTATTAATTAATCTTATTCTAAAAAAATTAAGCAATCCTATGAGTGCAAGCTGTTATCCAATTAAGCTAGCCACCCCATGCATATTTAAGCACCTCCTTCTTCGTCATTGCTTCCGAAAATGAGTGTAGATGTATCCATTAGCAATGGCTTGTATAAATGAGGCCAAAAAGAGATCATTATGACAAAATTAAGAGAAAGTAATACTTAATTATTAGGATTATCAATTCGGCATTATTATGCCTTGATCACCGTGTAAATTAGACACGCCGTCTCATGAATCTAGCTCATTCCAGCTAATTCCTCACCTAATACATGCCTCGAATGCTCATCATTTTGGTTTTTTGTGCCATTCGTTGACAAATTCAAGGATATCATTCCTCCTATCTTGTTGGATTTCTACATATGAATGTGAATGTTTTTTTGCTTTAATAATTAGATTATTTTTAGATCAACTTCTGTATCTAAAAAATAAATATTTTTTCGTCAGATCTTAGATAAATTATCATCATTTGAACGGATGTATTCATGAGTTTTTTTTAATGTAACCTTAGAACTAAATTCGAAAATGATTATCCAAAAAATAAATCTATTTAATAATTAGCTCACCCAATACATCAAAATAAATCTGGAAAATTGGAAATTAATGCATACATATGTAATCCTAAACTTTTACAAGTAATTATAAATGAGTCGCTTAATTTCAAGAAATTAATTAATTAATTCCTTTTTTTCAAAAACTATTATTTAATCCTAATTATACTTAATTTAATATTATTTTTATTCCACAAAATGTCTTTTTTTCTCATCAATTTTTTTCTTAAAATAAATTAAATAATAGAAAAAATGATTAAGTTACAAGAAGATTTAAAAATATAGAGATTAAATAATTAGTTTTTAAAAAAGAGTGACTAGATAATTCATTTCTCAAACTAGAGAGACTAGTTTATAATTTACTCAACTTTTAGCAATATATCAAGAAAAAAGAAGAAAAAAACCCCTTTTATCCCTCTAATTTGGCAAAGTGTTGTTGATTAATTAATTATCCATAAAACGTTTATCTACTTATGAATAACCAATCGTTGGATCAAAAATTAACAGCAAAAAATAGGATAACATTCTTGAGTTTGAAATGTATTCGAATTTTATTACAAGAAACCACTCTAACTTTCTCTTTTTCTTTGCTTTTTATTTTATTAGTAACTCACGCATGAAGCCTCATCAAACCAAATTATGAAATCATGAATTGACAAAAAAAAAAAAAATTACCAATAAGCTGTTGGTCTAGTGATAAGTGATAATCAATGATTGGATCAAAGATTAACAGCAAAAAATAGGATAACATTCTTGAATTTGAAATATATTCGAATTTTATTACAAGAAACCACTCTAAATTTCTCCATTTCTTTGCTTTTTATTTTATTAGTAACTCATGCACGAAGCCTCATCAAACCAAATTATGAAATCATGAATCGAATATATATATATATATATATATTATTAATAAATTGTTGATTTAATGATAAGTGAGAGTTCTTCAAATAATTTTTTTTTCTTAATATGCGAAGTTCAAATTTTAAAATTATACTTATTAAAAAAATTTAGATTTTATTATTTTTCATCTGAAACATCATTTATCTTATTTACAATGTGAGATAAGGATTATGAAATAACAAAAAAAAAAAAAAAGATTGCAGCGTTAAGCTAAAATGTCATCAAAGAACAGGCGGCGTTGATGATGGGTCTTCTAATGGTTCCCCTTCTATTTTTTAAGTTTTCTATTAATTAATATATCCATCACGAATTCAAGATATCTCCGTTTTATATTGTTTGACTTTAAAAAGGGATCCATCTATCATTAGATTTGTTTAGAAGGCATTTGTGCATGGTCCACTCGAGTTGTATGCAATCAATGCAAGAACTTCACATGCTATATGTGTTATGTGTTTTCATGCTTTCTCCTCCATCAAGTAAACTAAAAATTAACTAATAGTTTTATGGTTCAGTGGCGGTAATTTTTGATATTCGTAAAAGTTCATACATAATTTTTATATCAATTAAAATTAAATTATTTTTTAAAATTTTATTTTTGTATTAATTGGTATATCAATCAAAATTAAATTATTTTTCTAAAATATATTAATTAATAACATACCTTCGTATTATCCATATATATTTGAACAAATACTTTTTTAGATTGTGATAACAAGATTCAAACAAAAAAGTTTAAAAATTAGAGAACAAATATCACTAATCACTTAATTTATATCCTCCGTGCATGTTTCTCGACAATTCTATAATAAATCCTAATATGGTACCTTGATGACTGGGTAATCTTTTCGACTATTTTCTCCCTGTCTAGTTATAATCATGGGAGACAGCTTCTTTCTTTTCTCTCTCTCTCTCTTTTTTTTTTTTTTTGCTTTTTGAAAATTTTGGCAAGTTGCATAATGCTTGTGATCGGTGAGACTGAATATTTCAGGTGTTTACGTGGTCAGGACAATTCGGTGAAAAGATTATAGTAATCTCTACGTGGGTCCGAATTAAATTATTGAAAATGATTGATTTATATATAGTATTAGTTTGAACTTTAAATTCACACATATAATCACTTGAGATAAACAGTTCTTCCAAGAATCATTAATCTACTTATTCAATGGCACGTTGCCCTTCAAACATAGTATTAGTATTGTCATAACCCCAAGTTTGGTGCCATAATTATTTTAGATATT